AAATGATAGCTCACATTCCCGATTAACATATAGGCATATTCTTATCTCAAAAATCCTTTCGGGCTCCGCCCCAGTGGCTCTGTAGTTCCCCATGTTAACCTTATGAGTATTCATATTTAAAGGGATTAGAATTTAGGCAGCTGTTTCAACTAAAAAAGTTTATTCTATGATATGCAAAAGCATTAAACAGTTATAAGATTTACTAACAGGGTGCAGCACTATATTTTTTTTGCATTTATGAAAACAGCTAATTTGAACTAAGCAGCAACAAAAAACTGTGATACGCAATGAGAACTGTCAAAGTAGGATTGTTTACAGTTATATGTTTTTGTTTTTAATTTCATGAATAATTTGTAATAATTTGTGAATTTTTGAAGTGTTAGAACATTATGACTACATGGTAATACTATAGGGTACCGTGAATTTAAAGAAGCAAATGTTATCAAACTGTGTCCTCTCCCCCATCGAAAATGGAAAGTATAATTGCAATAATCATTTTTTACTTATATGCCAACCCCATACGAAGGACGGGTACTTTGCTAGTACTACTGTAATACTACTGTAGTACTACTGTAATACTACTGTAGTACTACTGTAATACTACTGTAGTAATACTGTAATACTACTGTAGTACTGTATGTACTGTAGTACTAGTCATAGTCATAGTCATAGTCATAGTCTTTATTGCCATTAAATACAACAAGTACAATAGGCTCGTCATTTAAATAAACAAAACATGCAAAATCAAATCCATCAACAAATAATTCAAATAAATAAGCTCTAGTCAAAAAACAAAACAAGAAAACATGCACAAACCATGCAGGTGTACCTGAAAATGACTCAAACGGTTACCACCAGATTGCTTTTGTCAAAGTTGAAAAATTCAGATATGTGGTAAAAAGGATTTAGAGTGAGCCAATTTTTTACGAAAGTGGAGAATTTTTTTGTGTGTAAATTTCTTGTACATTGGGGCAATTTGTTGAAAAGTTTAATGCCTGAAACAGGAAAAGAACACAATGATTTTTGAAGCCTATTTCTAGGTACAAAGATATCAAACTTATTTCTAGTATCATAACTATGTACATCGCTATTTACATGAAGAGAGTCTTGTCTGGCTTTTATTGCCACCAGACACTGAAAAATGTAATCATTTACAATTGTCAAAATTTCATTTTCAACAAACAAAGGTCTGCAATGGTCAAGGTACCCAGCATTTGAAATTACTCTAACAGCTCTCTTTTGAATTAAAAGAATTCTCTGAGTACCAGTGGCATGGCCCCACAGCCTGGTTCCATAGGCTAAAATAGACTGAAAGAAAGCATGGTAGGCCTGCCTAACTATTGGCCTCGGAAGCTCAGACATTAGCTTTCTAAGCAGGAACAACACTCTGCTAAGTCTCTTACACAGGACATCTATGTGACCTTCCCAAGACAGCTTGGGATCCAGTACAAAACCTAACAGTTTTACAGACAAACTTTCAGGTACATTAGGCAAAAGGCTGAAAGTTATTTCCTGGGTTTTCAAATCATTAAGAGCTAATTTGTTTAAAATGAACCATTGCTGAGCCAAGGCCAAAGAGTCATGCACTGCTGACTGAGCCAGGAACCAGTTTTTATCAGACGAAAATAAAGTTGTGTCGTCTGCAAATAGAATAATGTGACTATTAACATGGTAATGCAAATCATTAATGGCAATGAAAAATAAACGGTATCAGCATTCTGACACATACTTTCTCCCATAAGTTTGTCAAAAACCTTTATCATATGTAAGTGGTGAGAGTAAATATACGCAAATGGGATTTGTACAATTTTGTTCACAATTTAAAGGACTATAACATGCTAAATTTTATCAAAATCGTTCGGGCCATTTTTAGGAAAATCCGATTTTTCTGTTATTTTATGGGGGTTTTATGGGGAAATGACATAATTTACAATAACTTTTGAACCGTAATTTTTACAGAAATGGGATTTGTACCATTTTGTTCAGAATATAAAGGACTATAACATACTAATTTTTATCAAAATCGTTCGGGCCATTTTTGGGAAAATCATATTTTTCCGTTATTTTATGGGGTTTTATGGGAAAATCCCCATTAAAAATAAAAACTTCTAAAAAATAAAAAAAAACTATCAAAACTGTAAAGACTATAACATACTATGTTAAATCAAAACCGGATTTTTGTTCAAAAATCCTATTTTTCGTTATTTTATGGGGTTTTTATGGGAAAATAACATATTTGACCATAACTTTTGAACCGTAATTTTTACAGATATGGGATTTGTACCATTTTATTCAGAATTTAAAGGGCTACAACATACTAAATTTTTATCAAAATCGTTCGGGCCATTTCCGAAAAAATCCGATTTTTCCGGTTTTTTATGGGTTTTTATGGGAAAATCCCCATTAAAAATTAAAATTTCAAAAAAATGAAAAAAACGCCTGGAGATACCATGGATTAGAACCTACATACCAAATTTCATCGAAATCGGACCACAGGTGTGGTCTCTAGCTCTGTACACATCCAGACACACAGACACACACACACACACACACACACACACAGACATCACTTCGAAAACCACTTTTTTGGGTCCAGGGGGACCCAAAACGAATATATCCACTCAAAACTCAAACTCGAAAATTTTGACGAAAACAATACTTTCTCCATATACTATGGTATAGGGGGAGAAAGTAAAAACGCCTGGAGATACCATGGATTAGAACCTACATACCAAATTTCATCGAAATCGGACCACAGGTGTGGTCTCTAGCTCTGTACACATCCAGACACACAGACACACACACACACACACACACAGACATCACTTCGAAAACCACTTTTTTGGGTCCAGGGGGACCCAAAACGAATATATCCACTCAAAACTCAAACTCGAAAATTTTGACGAAAACAATACTTTCTCCATATACTATGGTATAGGGGGAGAAAGTAATAAGAGGGGTCCCAAGATAGAGCCTTGGGGAACTCCATGGAGCACATCACCTTTCTCTGAAAAAGTCCCATTCCAACTAACAACTTGTTTCCTATTTGACAGGTAAGAGGAAACCACTTTGAGGGCAACATCTCCTAGACCATAGAATTTAAGTTTTACCAGAAGGGCATTGTGAGGAATGCAGTCAAAAGCACGTGACAAGTCGCAAAGAATTGCATGTGTTGACTTTTTGGACTCAAAAGACTTGATAATTTCACACACCAAGGACTCTACAGCTAATATTGTCGATTTGGCTTTCCTAAAGCCAAACTGTGAGGGAACTAGGAGATTGTTCTCCTCAAAGTAGGAATACATTTGAGAGAACATTACAGATTCCATAACTTTGGCAAAAACAGGTATGATAGACACAGGTCTGTAACCAGACAAACTTTCACGGGGACCTTTTTTATAAATTGGGACTGTTTTAGCTACTTTTAGGGCATCTGGGAAACAACCAGTTGCAAGACAGTTGTTTATCAGAATTGTGAGCTCAGGTGCAACTGTGTGTATAACTTGCTTAACAATATCTGTTGACAAATCATAAACATCCCTACTTTTAGAGGCTTTGAAGTTGTGAACAATCTTTACAATATCTTTTGGTTTTGTGGGAGAGAAAGAGAAACTTGTGTTTACCCTGGGAATATTAACAGTAAAATTGGAATCTACAAAAGGTATATCAGGTATTTTCCCAACAATATCGTTGACACTTTGGATAAAAAATACATTAAAATCAGTTGCTGAGAACTTCGACTCCAAGTTCACTGTTGGTCGAGGTCTGCTGTGATTAATCAAACTCCAAGCTGCCTTACATGGGTTGGATGAGCCTGTGATGAAAGCAGCGTTTGCAGAAATTTTTGCGCTTTTAATACCGTGGCGATACTCCCTGCGCAGACTTCTTACCAAGGGCAGTAACTCAGGCTGACTCGTGGACTGCTCATGGACCAGCATGATCCAGTTCTTCAGATGAGCTAAATCCTCATTATACCAATCAATCTTGCTAGGTGTAGCGTGCAATTTAGTTTTAGGCTGTGAGATTCTTTTTTTCTTTAGAGGAAAACAGAAATCAAAAATACATTTAAAACTATTTAGGAAAAACTCAAAACAGTCTTCGGGTGAAGAAAACATAGTGTGGGCCAAGTGTAAGCCACTAAGAGCCCTTGACTGCAACGATTCAGTAAAATTTAGTACTGCATCGTCATTAAAAGACCTGAAATCAGCAAACTTGTCTACAGAACAAAGACTATTTATATGTACACGGTGAAGGTTTATGTACATAAATACATGTTTGTGATCAGCCACCTGATCTCTGCTTACACCTGCTTTAAAATCAGTCTTACACAAGTTAGTAAATATATTGTCTAGAGGAGCAACACCACGAGTGGCCTCGGATATCACACCGTACAAATCAAAGCTTCGCAATAGGTTCTCAAAGTCTTTGGCATCACTGCGGAAATAGACAGGGTTCACATTATGATCGGTACCTATTATCACATACCTCCCTAGTGTCAACAAAAATACTAAACATTTTTCCAGTATATCAAAGAAATTACCCATTTTACCGCTTGGTGATCGGTACATAGTTACAACCACCAATGACAAGTCTGTAATAATTGAAGCAGAAAATTCAACCTCTTTTTCTACACTGTACATTGAGAGGTCCAGAGGCTTGACAGAGTAATTTAGTCTATTTAGTCTACTACTTGTAATACTATAGCATACCGTAAATATAAAGAACCAAATTCTCTCAAACCTCCCACATTGCAAACGCAAAGCTAAGAGTATAATTGCAATAAGCATTTTATACTTATACGCCAACCCCGTACGAAGAACGGGTACTCTGCTAGTACATATATATATTTAATACAATACACAACAGTAGTAAGATCTGGTGAAATGGTCCTGAACTGCATCTATTTTCTTGGCTTAAAATTTTTTTATCACATGGGAAGTCTTGTGTATAGTCATAGACAAAAAGAATTAAATATAGACCGTCAGCCGTGCTACGGTTACCATGGGTTCTGGCGCACACCGCTGGGAGACCTCCAGGTCACCAGTCCGAGACGCTATCAACTACGCCACAAACACCGATGTAATCATATCGTCTCGTTATGGTAACTTAATGGTGTTCCCTCAAGAGAAGAGTGACGTCACTCCCCCCACTCCTTCTCAAAAAAGAGGTTCTCATCAGTTCCTGGAAGAGGAAAACGAGGCACTATATGTCACCTACATTAACTTACATATTTTTGGTCAAGTTTTCAACCCCTGGACCACCAGTAAAAATAAAAGCTCATGCAGGGGACTAGAGAAAAATCTAATCTTTTAAACAAACAAAAAGTTAAGACTCCATCTCTTTTAAAACTTGAGTTATGTGTCAACAAGTTAACATTATGGATGTCGGACTACCCCTTACTAAACTAGCCTAAGTTAATATTACAACCAATCACTTTAAAATTTTATTTTTATTTGAAATTCCTGCTCAATTTGATGTGCAGTAATATAGAATAGAATATAAGTACTTACTGTCTAATCATAGGTCGATTACAATATTATTTACTGTTCAGTACAGTTTGTCTTCTTTCAAAGCCATGGCAGAAAAGATGGAAAAGAAAAAGGCTTTATCTTATCTTACCAAGAATGACTCCCTGATAGCTCAGTTAACTTTACTCTCTTTACATGATAAGTTTTACAATCCATATTTAATAAAATAGGGTACACTTTCATTAAAATAATACATTAGATTATCGTTCAAAATATTGAATTGACGTTTTGTACAAAAATGTGTACTGTGTTATTTAGCTGAAACCATCAAAATAATAAACAAAAGCAGACAACTGGACGTGATGAGAGGCGGAAGTTTGACAGCCAGGCAGGCGAAGGCAATACAAATCTTATCACGAATACTAGAACAGTAACGGTATTGGATTAAGCAAACGATGTCACCTCCGAATCTTAAACCATGCTTACTGCAGTAGTTTACGCAACGATCGCATAAAGATCACGGCTACGTAATGACAGTGTTAACGACACGAGTAAAAAATATTTAAATTTATGGCGTGTGCCTTAAAAACCTCTGTAGAGGACTATTTACGCGAGTTACGTACACTACTTTACCTAAGACAGTTTTACCTCTAGGCCGGGGACCTAATTACTTTTTTATTTTTATGTCCCCAGAGGCCAAAAAGACCGTTCGTTCAAATCTTTATTGTATAGGGTGATTACCGAGAAACGCATGTTTTTCAAATAACTAGTATTCAGGCAATTCAAAGCAAAAAATATTTTTATGAGTGGAAAAACAGTGTACACAATATGCAATTTCAGAATAAAATTACTTACAATTTAGTGTTTAAAAATTACATATCTAAGGTGGTCGCCTTCTGCTTTGATAGAGTGTTGAAGGTGTTCCTTAAAACTTGCTACGGATTTTGCTAACATCTCTAGGAATGGCGTTGATTTCCTGGCGAATAGCTTCTTTAAGTTCCTGTATTGTTTGTGGTTCGTTTATGTAAATTCTAGATAAAAAAACCATTGAAAGAAATTGGGAACTGCAAGATCCGGTGAGCGAGAAGGCCAAGTGACATCACCAAAACGTGTGATAACTCTTGTAGGGGATGTTCGAAGAAGGAATTCCATACCAAGCAGAAGGCGACCATCTCAGAGATGTAATTTTTTTAAACTAAATTGTAAGTAATTTTATTCTAAAATTGCACATTGTGTACAGTGTTTTTCCACTCGTAAATATAACTTTTTATCTGAATTGCCTGAATACTCGTTATTTGAAAAACATGCGTTTCTCGGTAATCACCCTATATATCAGGGTGTTCATTTGAAAGGAGACTTACCAACGACACAGCCACGGCCGCCTTTAACTCCAGGCCGCGGCATTCGAAGTGGCAACGTCGCAAGTTGTATTATAACAGCTGTTTTGTTTGACAGCAGCTAATTGTATTTTTTGTGTATTTACGAAAGTTTGGTTACTGGACTATGACAATTAATATTGACACCGCTTAAAAATGTACAGATATATGTTTTTAATTTATATTGTTTCGGTTTTCAATTCTGTATCTTTTATTTTCAATATTTTTATAAATTTATGTTCAGAAATTTAAATTTAAATCAATTAAGTGCGAATTAATGAGCTGATGTCACCTGCATGCCATGTTATCTTATTGGACGTCTGTAACTAAACAACACCACTTGCGACGTTGCCAATTCTACCAGGCTACGGCCTGTAGTACGGCCGTGACACAGCTGTCAAAATAGGTTATTGAGGGGGTTGGAGTGAAGATATAGGTAAACTAGGTGAAACCCGTCGAAATCGACGGTTACTTTCAAGGCTTACGCTAATTCATCTAACTGCGATAAATGGAGTGAAATTATACATATTTTGAGCATTTAGCATTGTTTAAAGATTAATAAGTGTAAAAAAACAATAATGAAATTAATTGCGTTTGTTTCCAAATATGGTTGATCATTCAATGAATAGAATATTTCCCGTACTGTACGTCATCGGAGTTGTTATGCTATCTGGTATCTCTTCCTTTGGAAGAACCTTTAAATAGTATTAAAATCGTATTGGTGGATCTTTTGTAGTTAAACACTTCTGTGATTTCATCAGTGTAATGCAGATTAATCTATGATTTTATTTGAAAAAAATCTGTTTGTTGGGAAGACACGTTCTAAATTCAAAGGGAGGTATATCCGTTACAGAGTGTAAGTTTGATTTTTCCTTCGTCACGTCGCGTGAGTTCATATCGTACTTATGTGCCAATAAATAACCCTCTAGCACAGTTTTGAGAAATTGGTTGTGGGGTTACTGTTAAAGCTGGAATTCCTTGACTTAGGGGATGTCAGTTAAAATGTCGTGTTATTTTCAATAATGTTACCAACCCAGTGGGCCACGGTCCGTAATATAGGCCACAGCAAATAGTTTGTCAAGATAGGTACCATTTAGGCAAGGTTTCTGTGTTTGGATGTTATTAAAAATGGTAAGAGCACAATAAAATTCTTCTGCAGATGAATTTTCTGTTGGAGAAATGTAAGCCAAATTATAAATGTCACAATGCGAGTTTCAGCATTTTGTAACAATATTATATGGGTAAGTTACATAGATTTTTTAGGCTGCTGCTCAGTGATATTTAAGAATATATATTTTAGAGATAAATTAAATGGTTTTTGTTGCTGAGTAGTGCTAGTAAAGATGCACAACCCTTTTCGTTAGTCTAATAACATTCAAAGGCTCTCTAAGAGTTCAAGTTCTTATTTGTCTACATATCTATAATTATTATGTTTTCACTAAGCTGAATGAATAAATCGTTTCGATCAATAACATTTATTCTCTATTGCCACCAGAACCTCATAGGGAAATCCGCTTGCAAGTTGTAGCCTACAGAAAATTGCTAACTAGGTGGCGTTCGTAGAGGAATCCACAAAATTTAGCGGAGTCATCAAGGGTCCATATTATATTATTGTTTTGGTCATACTGCAGTAAAAAACAGTCGTTTTTAATGCATGCGTTGCAGGTCTCAAGTAGCATTTTTACTCTTTAGGGAGTAACAATCGTTTTTAGCCTCTATGGATTAAAAATCAGCTGTTGTCAACCCAGTTGTAAATTTCGATTGTAAACGATTGCATGTACCGAAAATATGTATAGATTGCTGCTTCGTAATCATTTTAACCTACAGTCTGCAGTCTCTTCCCATATCATTTTAGCATTTCAGATACATTAATCCATTCCCACACTCAACACTGCCCACCTTTACTACTTCCTTCACCACCCCTACATCGTGGACCTGTTTCTCTCTCTTCCCATAGCATTTTAGGATTGCAGATACATTAATGTAATAGCCAAAGACAGTTCCCACACTCTGCACTGTTAGCCTTACTACTTCCTTCGCCATATCCTACGTCATATACATGTGTCCTTCCCTACTCATAGCATAAAGTATCACAGATACATTTATCTAACTGCGCAAACGGTTCCCCCACTCTGCACTGCCATCCTTTACTACTTCCTTCACCTCTTCCTACGTCGTGGGGCCTGTTTCCTTCCCTTATCATAGCATTTTAGGATTGAAGATACATTAATCTAACTGCCACAGACGGTTCTCACACTATGCTCACCTTGACTACTTCCTTCACCACTTCCTACGTCACGGACCTCAAGCTAATGTCGTCATTTGATTATATTTATGATCAATACAGTTTCTGTTCTAATATCTGTGGAATAATGCTATCAGCTATTTCTTTACCTACTGCATTAAAACTTCAACAGCTGATCATATGTCTTTGTTTATGTGTCAAATACTGCTTCCATAAGGATTACATTGAAACTTTGGGACCCAGTGGGGCGGATTCCTGAGAGATTTATTTAACGCCATATAGATGTTGGCACTCACCGATATGGCCTTTATTACCATGCGAAATTTGAAACCGATTGATTCGGGCGTCTAGGAGGAGTTTGCGTATTACGAAATGCATAAGAGCCGACGTATAAGAGCTTCGCTGGCTTCGCTCGCTCCGCTCAATAAGTGGGAAACATACAAACATTTTATTATAAGGGCTGATGTTCAGCAGAGCCAAACTTTATTTCCTAGAGATGGTGAGAACGCTGGATACGTGCAACTACAATCTATATATTAATTACGTAAGCCGATTATTTGCGTCAAAATTGTGGGCGACTAGGAAGTCGTAGAATGACGGGAGAGGGCTCAAATTAAAGGTCTCGATCCCAAAAACTTAACACGAAATTACTCTTAGTGTTATTTACACGTCTCTGCTAATGCTGCTATCCTTCCCCTGGCTGAAGAGGACTAAATCCTAAAACAGCCTCAGTCCAGTAGGATTTCAGCTCTCTGGATTGGAACATCACGAAGAACAAGAACGAGACGAACACGAAATCCTACTAATATTATAAATGAGAAAGTTTCGATGTATGGATGTATGTATGTTTGTGACAAGTAAACACGAAAAATACTGGTCGGATTGGGCTGAAATTTGGCATGATGATAACTCACATTCCCGATTAACATATAGGCATATTCTTATCTCAAAAATCCTTTTGGGCTCCGCCCCAGTGGCTCTGCAGTTCCCCATGTTAACGTTATGAGTATTCATATTTAAAGGGAATTAAAGAATTTAGCCAGCTGTTTCAACTAAAAGAGTTGGTTCTATAATATGCAAAAGCATTAAAAATTTATATAAGATTTACCAACAGGGTGCAGCACTATTATTTTATTCATTATTTATGAAAACAGCTAATTTGAACTAAGCAGCAACAAAAAACTGTGATACACAATGAGAACTGTCAAAGTAGGATTGTTTACAGTTATGTTTATGTTTTTAATTTCATGAATAATTATAATATTTTGCGAATTTTTAATGATCTATCTTTCTCTATTGTGTAGGTGAAGTAGTAGAACATTATGGCTATGGTAGATGTATAATACTATCGCATACCGTAAATTTGAGGAAGCAAATTTTCTCAAACCGTGTTTTCTCACATCGCAAATGCAAAGATCGGGTATAACTGCAATAAGTCTTTTATACTTATTTGCCAACCCCGTACGAAGGACGGGTACTCTGCTAGTTAGATATAACGTAAAATGTTCTCCATAAGAATAGCATTAGAAGGCATTTACTGCTGATTTTTGTTTACATCAATACAGCTGATCGTGATTTATGTTTTGACAGTAGTTTGTTTAAACTAAAACTGCTGAATTAATTTTGTTTAATTCTAATTTACATAAAATAAATATATAACTAGTGCACCTTTTGCTCGAATTCTATTAATTGCAAAGTATTACAGGTGTTATATTA